GAAATACCAAATACAACATTACTGAACAAAATTAACAAAATATTAGTCATAGAAATTCTAAGTATAATAGCAACAATATTAAGTGCCATAATAGCAATAGTATTGTATTACCTAAAAAGAACAAACCGAAAGAAATGCCAGTATTGACAACAAGCTCAACAACTGCCCATCAACCAAACGCCCAACTTATCATTTATGCAACAACTGATAGAAAGAGAATTAACACCCAAACAGATAGCCCAATTAGCAGACTAATTAAAAGTCAACCGAGCTATAAACCAAACCCCTAAAGATAACAAAAGACTGAATAGACCTTATGTCATAGGAACAGGATTACCACTAACTGCATCAAATAGGAAGTACTGATATCAGACTAAAACAGAATACGAATCCGACAGATATCTTACAGATACCCATCTGTAATATCTTGGAACCGTGAACAAATATAAGATAACACATACTATAATCAATATCAACAATAGGGCAATACAAGAACAATCATTAAAATAACTTACCAATATTAGAATAGTCAGAAACAATCTTAAAATAATATAAGCTTCAACACGAAATGCGAACTTGCTAGAAAAACAATAATACACCAAAATTGGAATATCTACCATGATCTACAATACTACAACCAATTGTGATCAAGAAAATCAAACACAATTATACCTTATATTTACCATAATAGTATTATCTATACTGCATATCTTGATGATTATACTCAGCTGTTGTATATGCCAAAGATATAAAAAGAGAATCTACAAGAACCATTCAAACATTGGATATTACAGTTAACAACAAGAAACAACTTGCAATATACTATAAACACATGTCACAATTACTAGCAGATATACTTATTCTAATTATTACTATAATTGTTGTAATACTTATATTAGCCTCAATAGAAATTGTTGGAATTTATACACAGAAGCAAAAGAGAAAACACAATCAAGAACCAATAGATTATACCGCAGACACTTAACCTCTTTTTAATTAATGTTCTTATTCAAAAGAAAAAAGAAAAAG